GTGGCAGGGGAGTTTCCCCAGGTGGGGTTAGCTGCCGCAGGGGGGGGCTCCCCGGGCAGGGTTAGCTTCCATGGTGGGGGAGAGTCTCCCCAGGCGGGTTAGCTGCCACAGAGGGGGGGGCTCCCCGGGTAGGGTTAGCTTTCGCAGGGGGTGTGTGTGTGTGTCTTCCCAGGCGGGGTTGGCTGCCGTGGAGGCGGGGTTAGCTGCTGTGGAGGCGGGCTCCCCGGGCAGGGTTAGCTCCCACAGTGAGGGGGTAGCTGCTGCGGGGGAGGGGCTCCCTGGGAGGGGGGGGTGGCGGGCTCCCCGGGTGGGGGGCTGGGTTAGCTGCCACGGGGGGGTGGGGTTAGCTGGGTGTGTGTATGCGTGTGGGGGGCGGGGTGGGGGGGAGGCAAGGTGGAAGCTTTGCCTAGGGCGTGAAACTTCCTTGCACCGGCCCTGGAACTCACAAATAGTAAAATGGGGCCCTAGTGTCTTCTTTCTGGTTTAGCTTAGAATCATAGAATATCAGGGTTGGAAGAGACCTCAGGTGATCATCTAGTCCAATCCCCTGCTCAAAGCAGTACCAACACCAACTAAATCATCCCAGCCAGGGCTTTGTCAAGCCAGGCCTTAAAAACCTCTAAGGAAGGAGATTCCACCACCTCCCTAGGGAACCCATTCCAGTGCTTCACCACCCTCCTAGTGAAATAGTGTTTCCTAATATCCAACCTAGACCTCCCCCACTGCAACTTGAGACCATTGCTTCTTGTTCTGTCCCTTCTTAGAATATAATTAAACTAATCCAAATCCCTCAGAAACATCCAGGAAACCAAAGAAGGCTAGCTGCTCCTCTTTATGCTCATCTGGGTAAATTTTTCTCTTCGTACACAAGTAGGCCTCATTTGTTTCTATATTTTTCAGTTTTCATCTGTATCATAAATATCTCTCTTGGTTCTATTTTGAGTAACTCTGAATTATCTCCCCATGTTATTTTGTTTGAAATTTGCTATTTCTGAAACGACAGACAGCCAAAAAGCAGGGTCGCCCGGGGGAGGGAAGTGGAGCAATTTGCCCCAGGCCCCGGGCCTCTCAGGGGCCCCCACGAGAATATAGTATTCTATGGTATTGCAACTTTTTTTATGGAAGGGGCCCCAGAAATTGCTTTGCCCCAGGCCCCCTGAATCCTCTGGGCGGCCCTGCCAAAAAGAAGCAAAGAAAGAAAGTTGTCATTTGTTGAGAGCTTATTAACTCTGAGCTGGCATCATTTTGCGAGCAGGGATTAGGTGGTGGGCTTCAGTGGTTTATGGGCATGGCCTGTGTAAAAGTGAAATGATGAGAGTGGACATACACTGCCAATACAGATGTTGGTGCATTTTACAAGAGGATAACATTTGATTTTTCTAGGCTGAAATCCCTCTCATCCTATAATAAATAATAATATAGGATACCAGGTTTGTTAAATACGGTTACCTTTAAAACCTACCCTAAAAATGCACAGTAAGAAACTATTTTTTAAAGGCACAAATGTAAAATGTATGTTATGCGCTGAATGCTCCAAACGAACGGGGTAAGCAGGACTTACCTTGTCTCCCCCTTTCCACAGGTCTGCAAAGTGCAGACCCCTTGCGGATCCTGCTCAGGCCAACGTCCCAGCATGCCCTCTACTGGTGATGTCCCACCCACCACTGAAGAGACTGCCTAGAGGGGTACAATGCAAGTCTTGTTTTTTGTTTTTTACAGTATTGCATCTTTTTGTAAAGTTTTCTGTTAATTTTATTCTCTGTAAACAATACAATTATGAAAAAGAAAACTTTACAGAAAGGTGCAAAATTTGGGGCGGGGTGGGGGGAGATAAGGAGGGATTTGGCTTACCCCTATTGGCAGGTTCCTCAATGGTGGGTGAGATGAGACCAAGAGAGGGCATGCTGGGGTGCCACACCGAGCCACAGAAGGTAATCCGGGGTTGTTCTGCACTTTGCAGGCCTGCCGATAGAGAAAGAGCAATGTTTAAATAACTAAGATGCTAAGCATCTCTTTTACTGTTTATTTGAGACATCCAGCACATAAAAAGGCCATTATTTACTGTAACTGGAGGTTCTTTGAGATGTGTGGTCCCTATCTGGATTCCACCGAGAGTTATGCATGCACACCATGCCTTCGGATTCGGAGAATTTGAAAGTAGTGTCTGTTGGCCTGCGCATGCGCCTTGACTCATCTTGCACTTCTGTCAGAGGCAATAAAGGACGTGGTGGACCGACCACATCTCCAGTTCCTTCTCTACTGCAAATTTGACAAATATGCAGCAGAGGGGAAGGAGGGTGGGACTGGAATACAGATAGAGACCACGCATCTCAAAAAACCTCCAGTTACAGGTAAGTAACCTCCTCTTCTTCGAGTGATGGTCCCTACTGTATTGCCCTGAGGGCGATTAACAAGCAGTACCTAAGATGGAGGAGGGAGCGAGGATGAGGATGGAATGGTCATGTGGAGAATTGCCATGCTGAAAGAGGCATCTGACGCTGAGTCCTGTACAGAACTCCATGTGGCCGCTCTACATATGTCTATGAGCGGCACATCCTGAAGGGAGGCTATGGTTGAAGCCTGAGCTATCGTGGCCCTGTGGGTGGGGAGTTCGGCCTGTCAGCTGGTAGCAGAGTTTAATGCAACCCAAAATCCATTTGGAGATTCTCTGGGTGGAGATGACCTGTCTGCTGAGTCTCTCTGGTACTGCAACGAACAGTCTAGGGGACTTCCTGATTGATTTAGTTCTTTGCAGGTAGCAGGTCAGAGCTTGTTGGACATCGAGGGAGTGGAGTCAACGTTCTTCTGCAGATGCATGTGGTTTCGGGAAGAAAATAGGTAAGTGAATGGATTGATTAATGTGTAACCTGGAGACCACCTTTGGTAAAATTTTTGGGCGTAGATATAGGAAAACTGTTCGCAGTCCCTTCTTGTGGAAGTGATAGCAACAAGAAAGGCAACTTGGGGGGAGGGATAGCTCAGTGGTTTGAGCATTGGCCTGCTAAACCCAGGGTTGTCAGTTCAATCCTTGAGGGGGCCATTATCTGTCTGGGTATTGGTCCTGCTTTGAGCAGGGGGTTGGACTATTTGACCTCCTGAGGTCCCTTCCAACCCTGACATTCTATGACTTTCATGGAAAGAAGGGACATGGAGCACAATGCTAATGGCTCAAAGGGAGGCTTTGTTAGCACAGAGAGAATTAGATTCAGGTCCCATTAGGTTGCGATTGCTTGAATGGGTAGGAAGGTTCCGATAAGCCCTTTCCAAAATCTAGTGAGTAGCGGATGCGTAAAGACAGAGTAACCGTCCACTGGAGGGTGGAATATACTAATTACTGCCTGGTGGACTCTTGAAGAGCTGAGGACGAGACCTGATGACTTTAATGAATGTCTAGGATGAGGGGAAACTCCGCCAATTCTGGTAAAACTCCTTTTTGTTAAACTCAAGATGAGAAACATCTCCACTTGGCTTGGTAACATTGCTGAGTGGAGTCCTTCCTACTGCTGGAGCGAATGTTTTGCATAGTTGAAGAGCACATCCATTCTAAAGCAGATGCTCATCCAAATACCATGCTAAGTGGATTGGGATGCCTGAACTCACCGTTGAACTGGGTCAGCAGATCAGGGAAGCTGGAGATGGGAATTGGTGGGCAGGAAGACATGTGGAGGAGATTGGGAAACCAGATTTGTCTGGGCCAGCAGGGGACGATTAGAATGACTGTCGCTCTGTCTTATCAGATTTTGTGAGACACTCAAGGCAGGAAGGCACTCAAGGAGCGGTAGTGGAGGGAAGACATAGCTGAGTTGGTCTGAACAGGAGAATTAGGAGAATGTTGCCCTAGAAGTGGTGGCTGAGGGCTCCCCTGGAGCAGTATGTGGTGCACTTGCTGTTCTCCCATAGGTCTCTGGTCAGGGACCCCATCGGGCAAAAATATCGTGTACTACTGAGTCGTGAAGCTCCCACTCGTGGTTGATTGCAAAATGTCTGCTGAGTGAATCTGCGAGTACATTCTGTGTCTCCGGAAGATAGGCTGTGGACAAGAGGATCTGGTGATTGATGCACCAGTTCCAGAGATTGACTGCCTCATTCCCCCGTTTCTTGATATAGAAAACAGTGGTGTTGTCTAACATGATGAGAATATGATGGGAATGAATGAATGGAAAGAAAGATTGGCATGCCTTTCTTACAGCTCGGAGTCCCAAGATATTTATGTGCATCCTGGATTCTCTGGGAGTCCACATTCCTTGTGTCATGTGATCATTCATGTGGGCTCCTCAGCTCACTAGGGAAGTATTGTGATTATCATCTTGTCTGGGGAGAAGGGAAGAAAGGGAACCCACATGCATACATGATGTGGGTCTGACCACCATTGGAGGGATGACAGTACCTTGGCAGGGACTGTCAGCATGAAGTTCATGGAGTGACATGTTTGGTGAGTAAATGGACCCATGTCTGAAGGCAGTGGAAGTGAAGTCGCATGAAGGGGGTCACGTAGGCACATAAAGCCATGTGACCAAGGAGGGAAGGACAACCAAGTCCTGGCCGGTACATAAGGATTGCTCATGATGCGAGTTATGATATTGCTCATTGTCTGAAATCTGTCCCTGGGCAAGTAAGGTTGTGCTATCACTGAATTTATGGTAGCACAGATGAAGTGCAGAGGTTGCATGGGATCGATGATCGATTTCTCGAAGTTGACACTGATTCCCATGGAAGAAAGGAGGCTAAGTAACACAGAGGCTGATGTATGGGTTGTTTGCCTGGATCTGATGGCTAAGAGCCAATACTTTGATGAAGACTCTGGGAGCAGTAGCTATCCTGAAAGGGAGCACCTTGTAATGGAAATGGTGGGTACCCACTGTAAATCTCAGGAAACTTATGTGGGCAGGATGAATATCGATATGAAAGTAAGCGTCCTTCATATAGAGAGCCGTAAACCACATGCCTTTCTCTAAGGATGGAACTATCACTGCTGTATGAACCTTGAGTTTGTAGATGAAATGACTGAGGTGCCATAGATCAAGGACTGGTTTCCACCCACCTTTCTTTTTGGGTATCAGGAAGTAAGTTGAGTAGAATCCCGTTCTCTGATATTTTGGAGGAATGTATTCTATTGCTCCCCGTTGTAACAAGGAGTTCACCTCTTGGACGAGAATACTGTCATGAGAGTGGTCGCCAAAGGGGGATGGGAAGGAGAGTTTTGGAGGAGGTAGCATGACAAGCTCTATTATATAGCCACAGTGAATGATGTCAATACCCATCTGTCTGTTATCACACTCCAAGCATGGGAAAATGACCCCCAAAGGGAGTAGGAAGGTCGTGAGGCAGTAGACTTAGTGGTCAGCAGCTCTTAGGCTCACATCAAAAACACCCCTTGGTTGGAGGTTGGGTCTGGGACGTGAAGCCTGATAGGGAGGCCATGAAAGGCAAGATCTCTGTGTCTTTTGATGTTTCCCTGGGGCTCATTAGGTCTCTGTGGGTAGAACTGAGGAGACCTGAAGCACTGGGTAGACGATGGACAGTGGAATTTTCATTTCAGGGCACGAGTGTAGATGCCCAACAAGTGAAGAGTAGCCCTGGAGTCCTTTAGTGTATGTAGTGATTCATCTGTCTTCTGGTTTAAAAGATGGGATTTGTCAAAAGGGAAGTTCTAAATGGTATTCTGGACCTCCCTAGGAAAACCAGAAGAATGGAGCCAAGACTATCTATGAATGACTATTGCTGTAGCCATGGCCCTGGAGGAGGAATCTGCTGCTTCTATTGCACAATGGAGAGCAGATCTGGCCATGAGCTTCCCTCCATCAACAAGTGCCTGAAGATGAGCACGATCTTGTTGTGGAAGGCTATCAGCAAATTCCTCGAATTTACTGTAATTTAGGAAGTCATATTTGGCTAATAATTTGTGATCCTGAATTGTAGGCTAGAAGATGAGAAAAGTTTATGTCCTAGAAGTTCTAGATGTTTCCCTTCCTTATTAGCAGGTGTGGCTCAAAGGTGTTGCTGTTTGGCCCTTTCTGCAGCAGCCTGGGCTACTACGGAATTTGGAGGTGAATGGGAGAAAAGAAATTCAGATCCTTTGGCCGGAACATAATAGCCATGCATGTGGCAGGGGTGCACCACACTATTCTGGAAGGCTCCAGTCTAGCTTAGTTAATTGGTAATGCTATTCTTGCCAGCCCCAAGGTGTGAAGGACATCCAGAAGCTTGTGCTGGAAGTCTTGGATCTCTTGTAAAGGAATCTGGAATTCCACCATGACTCTCTATAACAGCTCCTGGAATTGCCTGAAGTCATCTGCTGGGGAAGTGGATGATATAGCCACCACTTCATCTGGTGAGAAGGAAGGGAATCTTGCCAGTTCCAGTGGAACTGCTGGGACCAGGCTAAAAAGTTCTTTCTACACCACTGGATCCATATGCCTGCTGGAAGGATCCCTCAAGGGGAAGGCAGATGACAGTTCCCTCGCAGATCAGGCAGGTTTCGAGGGGCGGTATTGTGTCCAGAGTCTCCAATATGGCCAATAGGCCGGATCCAACAGAGATTGTGGAGGCCCCATAAGTACCAATGACTCTGCGGTAGCTGAGGTGGTAGTTGTTGCTGGAGATGAGGTGGTCTCTGCGATGGTGCATAAGGATGGTATGATAAAGGTGGCTCTTCTCTCAGTTCCGACTCCTCTGAAAAGGAGACAGCGCACTCTGGCTTTAATGGTGGTACCATCGGAGCCAGTGGAAGAGTGTAGAGCATCGGTGCAGAGGGTGAGGGACCTCGTATCGGAGACACATCCCTTGCATGGGATATAATCTCTCTAAAAGTAGAGGCACCCGATGGAGGGGGTGACTCCGGGTCCAGCAAGGAAAAGACGTCCTGAGATGCAGCCATGGCTCCAGATATCCCTGGTGTGAGAGGCACTGTCTCTTTCCCAGGCATTGGTACTGGCACTGGGATCATTCCCGGTACGGGACAGTCCAGCATCTTGTGGGGTGTCGGAGATGGCGGTACCAATGGATCAGCGCCTAGAACTGCTGGGTCCTATTGTTTACGGGTCTTTTTCCTGTGCCTGTGAGACTTAGAACATATTCAGTCCCCTTGGGCTGAGCTGGTGAAAGGAGTGTTGATCTTCTTTGATTTAGAGAAATACTTCCTCCCATGGTTACGGGAGGGCTTCCTTACCTCCTAACCAGGCTCTGCCATGGGGGAGGTTCCGCTGGCACCAGAGGCAGACGAAGTAGCAGGAGGCATGCTCCTCGCTGAATCAGGCCATTGTACAGGGGGTGTTCCCTGGCCTGGGTCCAAGTGTGGTCTCATGGCATGCTCCATGAGATGCTTCTAGAGGCAAAGTGTCCAGACTTCTTGGGTGCAGCTGGGGAAGGACTGGCAAATACTGCACCTGGCCATGACGTGAGCTTCCCCCAGGCAGTAGAGGCAGCGTTGGTGGTTGTTGCTGACGAAAAAGGATTGCAGGCAGAAGGCACAAAATTTGAAGCCTGGAGTCCTGGGCATTGTCTGGTACCGGTATGTGGGGATGAAAACCTCAAAGCCTATCTAAAAACAAGTGCTAAAAGTATTACCTATTAAAACTAAGAGAAAATAAAACTGGTAAAACCACTAAAAAACTCATTAAAGCTATTTACAACTATCTTTTCAGAAGTGCGTCAGAGACGAGGACTCTGGAAGTTCTGATCCAGACCATGCATCACTGAAAAGGAACTGGAGACACAGTTGGTCCGCCCTTCATCGCCTCAAACGGAAGCACAAGGTGAGCCACGGAACATGTGTGGACCAACAGACACTACTTTCAAATTCTCTAACTCCGGACGCATGGTGCGCAGGCATAATCCCTCAGTGGAATACAATAGAGACCATCACTCAAGAAGAATTAATACTGTATGGCACTGGCGTGCAACTTGCAGCCCACTGAAAAGTTTCTGAATAAATAAATATGTTGCCATCTTTAACTGCAGCAAAGCTTCAAGGCTGAGTACCATCATTTTTTGAGACTAAAAGCAAGATTTAAAGCTATCAAAGACAGGCACACACACTAAATTCACAGTATTACCTTTCAAAATGGATACACTATATTTATACAAAGGCCCAATCAAATTTGCTCTTTTGAATGCTAATATCCTGGAAAGTTGCTGATGTGAATGTGAATGATATTTGGAGAGATTTCTTACTAGAAACTATTAGTTTTAAAGGACGAATTCTTTTCCCATTCCCTGTTTCTCCCTCCTCTAGAAGCCATTTCCCATTTCAGTTGCTTGCTGCTCCTCTCCCGTTTCCTGCTTCAAACAGCTGCAGATCAGTGAGAAGCAGAAGTGAAATCCACTCCTTGCTGCACAGCTGAGACACACAATTGAATACAGCATCAGCTGGTGGCATAGCAGAGCAGAGCAAAACTGAGCCTTATTTTCATCCAATCACAGCAGCCTCTGCCTTCAGGCTGCAGCTGGCTTGGCCCTTTTAGGGAGGCAGCACTCTTCAGCCAATCATGCGCCAGGAACAGGGAATGCACGAGGAAGGGAAGAAGTAAGAATTGAGGGGGAAGATTTTTAGAATTGAGAAAAAGGAGGAGGCAGGGCAGAGATAGGAAAACAGAGGAGGAGGAAAGAAATCATAATATAAAAGGGGGAGAACACAGAGGAAGGAAAGAGAAAATAGTGTGAATGAAACAAAGTGACAAGTGGAAAGAAAGAAAAAATAAAGAAATAGAACAAAGAGAAAACAAGCTCTTCAGTTAGAAAAATATCTTGCATTTAATATAAATGGATTTCTGTGAGAACACACACAGATACAAAACTTATGCAACTGTATGAAAAATATGTATTTAAATTAGCTGTGTCATCAAAGCTCCTGGCATGTTACCAAAGCTGCCCTTGAAACCACAGAGGCTGTGCCCCACTGCTGCAAGGATGATTTTGAAGTAGATCTCTTTTGAGCAAGAAAGGGGGGAAATTATTACCAAACTCATTTACCCCAATTTCTATCAAGTTAAAAGCACTCACAATGATTTTATTTGCTTCTATATTAGTTCTCAAGGAAAATAACTTCTCTGCTTTAGGCAGACTGAATAGAAACCAAAATATCTAAGATCCCAAAAAGGCTTGAGGTTAGATTCCATAGATATCAAGGGCAGTTTTTAACTTAGCAAGCCTGGAGATAGTTCATACTTACAGCTACACCCCTTCCCCCGGAGGTTTGCCTCCCGAAATCGGCAAAGGCTGGTGTGAAGTCTGGTCCTCGAGGCAATATCCGAGGGTCCAGAGTTCGAATTGGCAATTTTGGCTGATTAATCTGCCGGCGGAACAACAACAACAACAACAACAAAAAGAGTCTGTTAAACTTTTGTGATGTGGTTATTACAAACACATGCAATCTGTAAACAGTCCTCTGCCAATGTTTCAATCAGTTATAAGCAGGGTTACAACATATATTTGTTATTTTAGCAAACAGTAAGTTTAATGTTTTCTATAAATAGCCATAGTTACATATAAAAATTATATTTCATTTGTGCCATGCCTTACACCAGTGGCTTTTATATAAATCCATAACAAGGACCATGAGAACTTGGAAAATTTGTCAGGGTTTGACATGACTTATAGACAATTAAAAAATGGCTAAGTTGTGCTGCTATTTGAGAAATAAATTTGATGGTCATGGTTAAGGATCACAAAACTGTCATCTGATCTGAAACAAATATCCTTAGTTTTAACAAGGCAAATGGCTGACCAAGCAAAGAAACCTCAAAAGATGATGACCAAGTGAGGTCACAGAAAACTGAAAGGGCAGTTAGATAAAGCCTTTCCTAAGGGCATAGCTGGGTTTTACAACATTGCCAGTCCCTGGAAGTTTAAAGTGGAAATGTTCACCCAATAGGAAATCAAAAATACTCTGATTCGTGCTTGAATCTTAGGGGCCCAAACCTGTTCTGTCAAATATGTGTAAATCTGCAGGAGTCAACAGATTTACATGGCTGTAACTGAGGTGAGACTCCCTAGGACTAGCTCTTTTAAAATAATAATGAATAACTTTCCTTCCAGAGATACAAAAAGACAGTGAGAAGATTCATCGTGTAATGACATTTGGCCGACTCCATGTCACCATTTTTATGTGCTAGTGTCAACTAATCAATATAATCTCATAGTGAAGCAATGAGTACTGGCTTCGCACTCCCATTGGCCAGTTCCTGGGGGGAGGCAGTGCCGGCGTGTGAGAGCCACGTGGAGCTGCTTGCACGCCTCCACCTAGGAGTCTGCTGCTGGCCGCTTCCAGGATGCAGCGTGGTCCGTGGTGCCAGGACAGGCAGGAAGCCTGCCTTAGCACCTCCGCTGTGCCACTGACCAGGAGCTGCCTGAGGTAATCCAACCCCAACCCCGTGCCCCAATCCCTAGCCCTGAGCGCCCCCCCAAACCCGGAGTCCCTTCCTGCAACCCAAACCCCTCATCCCTGGCCCTACCCCACAGCCTGCACCCCTAGCCCAGAGCCCTGTCCCCCTCCCACACCCCAACCCTCTGCCCCACTCCTGAGCTCCCCCAAACCCAGAGCCTCCTCCTGCAACCTGAACCCCTCATCCCCGGCCCCATCCTAGAGCCTGCCCCCCCAGCCCAGAGCTCTGAACCCCTCCCCAACCACAACCCCCTGCCCCAGCCCAGAGCCCCTTCCCACACCCCAAACCCTTCATCCCCAGCTCCGTTGAGTTGCAGGCATCAACAATTTTTTTCAACTGGGTCTCCAGAAAAAAAGTTTGAAAACCACAGCCCAAGCCTGTGTTATTTTATAATATGAGGCTTTAACCAAATACCATCCCATTCCCTTGCTGACAAAACATATGCCAAAAAGCTCACCAAATACTCTAGTTTGCATTAGAATCCACAGTCATTTATATTAATTCCTGATGGTAACTGAATATGCAATAGAACTATGAACCTAGATGTGCTGTCAGCATTGGGAAATTCAGATTCTTGGCATTTAAAAGGTAAACCCCCCTCTTTCTCATCCAATTCCCATTCAGTCAAATGATTCTTAGTATCTTCACCTCTTTATTACAGAATTTGCACACACCTGTTTTATTGGGTCTCCTCTCACCTTGTCGAGGACCACATCACTAATAGGAGGCAGCCCTTCCGGTTTCTGTATACAGGCAGGCATGAACTGGAAATCCAGCAGGAACTCCCTATCGTATTGCTTCTTCCCTTCAGGATTCATGGGCTTCCACTGTTCTGTAATGATACAAGACGGCTGAGATTCATAGGCAACACAAAGAGCTTTGCTCCTGGACAGCACACTTTAGATAAACTTGGAGGAAGGTATCTTTGACTAAAATTGTTTTTTAAATTTTCACTTAGAAAAAAACAAGTTAAATTGTCAGAGCATAAGAAATGGGGAGCACACAGCCAAGTCCAGGGGGAGTCACATAAAGTACTAATGTCACCAACTTTCACCCATGACTAGATGCTAGACACAATAAAAATCCAGGATAGAGCTCTTAGGTAAACAGATTCAGGAATGGAGGAGCAAAATCAGAGTTTTTGAAAACATGGCAACAAAATGCTTTGGCTTCTGAGCATTCTATGCTGGGAGTAGAACAGAGTTCAATTGCAGCTTGAAAATTTCAAAGTTTTTTGCTTTACAATGTCAATGTTTAAGGTAAGACAAATGGCAGAACCATGAGGGACAAGGACAACTGCAGATGAGCAGTCAGGCACATGTAAGGTATTAAAAATTTTCACCCATTTATTTAGGGCCTTCTCAAAAGGAGAAAGCTGATTGTGGTAGGGAAAGAGAATAACTTGCTTGTCTGAGAACAAAGTGTATACCCACAGTCTACAGAAAATTAGCATCTGAGGATCGGAAGCCATGATTTTCTCTGCTGGCTGCAGTGTTTGAAATTAGAAAAGAAAAAAAAAATCCTGTTATCTACCTCTCATAACTGTTGTTCTTCAAGATGTGTTGCTCATGTCCATTCCAAGTAGGTATGCGCGCTCCATGTGCACAGTCGCTGGAAGGCTTTTCCTCTAGCGGTACCCATCGGGTTAGTTCAGGTGCCCCCTGGAGTCACACCTTCATGGCATCACATATAGGGCCCTACCGCCGCCTCTTCAATTCCTTCTTGCCGGTTCACTCCAACAGAGGGATAGGCGGGTAAGTCTTGAAATGGACATGAGCAACACATCTCAAAGAACAACAGTTATGAGAGGTGGATAAATGTTTTTTCTTCTTCGAGTGCTTGCTCATGTTGATTCCAATTAGGTGACAACCAAGCAGTACCTTGGAGGTGGGGTTGGAATTCATTGACGCACTGACTGAAGCTCTGCTCTGCCGAATGCTGCATCGTCCCTGGAATGCTGAGTAATGGCATAGTGAGAAGTAAAGGTGTGGACTGATGACCATGTCATGGTCCTGCAGATCTCCTGGATTGAGACCTGTGCCAGGACTGCCGCCGAGAAGGCCTTTGCCCTTGTGGAATGTGCTGTCAGTGAGGGGGCAAGTATCTTTGCCAAATCATAACATGCCCAGATACAGGACGTGATCCACGATGACTTTGGGAAGACAGCAGGAGGCCCTTCATCCTATCTGCTACAAAAAGCTGGTTCGATTTTCAAAATGGCTTTGTCCGTTCGATAGAAAAGGCCAATGCTCACTGAATAGCCAGGGAATGGAGTTTTTGTTCCCGGCTATTAGTGTGTGGCTTAGGGTAAAAAACTGGGAGAAAAATGTCCTGCTTGGCATGAAACTAAGATGACCTCTGGAAGAAAGGCTGGATGAGGCTGAAGCTGTAGCTTGTTCTGATAGAAGATAATGTAAGGAGGTTTGGATGTTAGGGCCCTAAGCTCGGATACCCTCCTAGCTGAGGTTATTGCCACCAGAAATGCCACTTTCCTTGACAGGTAGAGTAGTGAGCATGTCACTAGGGGTTCAAAGAGGGGCCCATTAGTTTCGAAAGCACTAGGTTGAGGTCCCATGTAGGAATCATTTGTTGTACTTGTAGGTATAACCTGTCATGTCCTTTAAGAAAATGGCCTACCATTGAGTTAGCGAACACTGATTGGCTGGCAACCCTTGGGTGAAACACCGAAATGGCAGCCAGGTGAACCTTTATTGACGACATCGACAGTCCTTGCTACTTTAAGTGCAGCAGATAGTCCAAGATGAAGGATACTGATGACTGCATCGTAAAAATATGATTCCATAACGACCATATTGAAAATCTCTTCCACTTGGCCAAGTAGGTGGCCCTAGTGGATGGTTTCCTACTGCCAAGGAGGACTTCCTTAACAGGCCCCAAACATGTCAGCTCTAGTGGATTTAACCATGAAGCCTCCATGCCGTGAGGTGGAGAGATTTGAGTTTGGGATGCCGGAGACGGCTGTGGTCCTGGGTGATCAGGTCCGGAACTAGGGGCAGGATGATCAGGGTGTCCACTGACAGCTCCAGGAGAGTGGTATACTAATGCTAACAGGGCCAGGTTGATGCTATCAATATCACCAAGGCTCCTTCCTTTCTGACCTTGAGCAGAACCTTGTGGACAATTGGAATAGGCAGAAATGCGTAGAACAAGTGGTCCTTCCAAGGAAGGAGGAATGCGTCTGCAAATGGCTGTGATTCAGGAAGGAGCAGAACTGCTAACAACTATCTTAACTATTTACAGATTAAACTAAGAGTCCACTAGGAGATTGCCCAAGGCGCGAACAAGAGAAGGGAACGCTTCAATGACTGTCACTGGCAGTAAGAAGCAACTGAACAGGTGGCAGGTCGGCAGGGCGCCTGAACCAACCCAACAGGTATTGCTAGGGGAAAAACCTTTTGGTGACTGCACACGGCACACGCACACCTACTTGGAATCGACATGAGCAAGCACTTGAAGAAAACATCTACTAGCTCAACAGCCAGGTTGATTAATCAGGCGCATAACTGAGAAAACACATTTTTATCTGAAGAAAAACATACGAGATTCTTTTTCGTGTGTTTTACTGAGAGTGAACTGCATTGCTGTTTCCTACCTCAGTCTATTCTATTAAACTTTTCTTCCTACATCTTCCTACTCTTTCCTCATTTAATTCCTTTGAATCTTGAGTTCAGATTCTCTACATTATGACATCACCTGCACCCCTATGACCACAAAGAGAAACTTGTTCCAAACGACAAGCTTTTCATTGAGAAAGAAAATATATCATTATACAAAGGATTAGAATACCTAGACATTTTACAGTGATTTTCACCCACAGATTTCGAAGTATTTTTATCACTATGCACATTTTACATATGGGGAAAACAAGGTCTTTGCCAGTTCAGCAGGCGAGAAATCCAAATCCAGCAGCCTATCCACTGGACTTCCCATTTGTATGTGGATAAATATTGAAAACAGCAAAAATAACAATTACATACACTCAACTTTTTCTCTTGAAAGTTTCCTAAAAAGAAATTATAGTGTGAAAAGTAAGCAGATAGTAAATGTCAGAGACAGCCTTCTTACATGCAGAGCAAACCAAGGCCAAATGGAGAATTCTTCCAAAAATCTACTAAAAGTCAAAATCTGGATAGCTTTGAAAAGTTCTAACAACTGATGATTATGGTGCAAACAAGTCAAGATCACATTGCAGAATAAAAATAAAGAGTTCTTTGCTTTCAAAAGGGATGCACTTGATTCATTCCTTTTAGGAACAAGTTAAAGCACAGCCAAAATTAAGCTATGAACCATCCGAAAGGTCTGAAATTTGTAGGACCATTGACTCTGCATGACATGTTTCTATAAAAGACATCTTGTAAATTGCAGGTTTACTTTAAAATCTGTTTAGCTGATAAGTACGTGGTCTACCATAAATAGATAGTAGACTACCAGAGGCTTTTTATTTTTTTGGTAGCCATGCTATGAATTATCATGCTATCAATAGATTTGCTCATTTCTGCAAGTTAATATAAGAAAAGCTACTCTGATCTTCAACAGAATGGAAGATCAATTACACTGCTGCTGCTTCAGCAGCAGCAGCAGTGTAATTGGACTGCAATAGTTCCTCCTCTCCTATATCTCACTCACCAGATTTGTGTCTGTGTTCCTTACCTATTTTACTTAACACTTTATATTTATTAAGCTCTTAAGGAAATTGTTTCATTTATTCAGAGGAAACCGCATCTGAAAAATTAAATACTTGAAAGTTGGTACTAACTACGAGTAAAGAACATGGCTTAAGAGTCTTTGCTAAACAGGTGAGACTATACTGCAGTTCAGGCTATACAAAAGCAATACTATCATTAATAAAACAGGTACAGCATCTATAATACTAAGTACCAGGAAAAGAATTGTCTTCTTGGAACCTACACTCTAATAATTTGACAACAGAATAGCATTCCATAGCTTGATTAGGGCTAGATAACTAGGATTGGACAGAATATTAACATGCATTATTTATTTTCTTTTATTTAGCATAGACTTGTAAAGGATCATCTTCTCCAACTGGGACGAGTTTAGAAATGGAAGGTTTTGAATGTCTAGATGTAAATCAGCCAGTAGGTTAGATTAGATCATATGCAACCCCTCTGGCATTAAAATCTATGAAATTGTATAACTGGGTAATTTTTTTTAAACTATACAACTTGGTTTGGTATTCAGTAGTTAAATCTGACAGTGTAATCTTTTAAACCCACTTTAAATTAAGATCTGTTGTTTTATATTACAGCAGAGCTACTATATTAATGAAAAGATCCGATGGTTCTGTTTTGTGTGTCAAATATTCTCAAGTCTCTTCTAATTAAAGTTTCTAAAACTAAGAGGACTTCTCAGATCAATTTCAAAAGCCAGGTGTGTGGCAGCTACCTCACACAGCCACTTGTACTTGTGCTGAAGTAATCTACACACAGACATATAAATTTAAGCAGCCAGGAATTTTCTTCTCCTCTCACCCTCTTCCTCTCCAGTCCTCTCTTCTCTTTCACCACCAGAAAGGAAAAATGACACTTTCAATCTTATGTCCTCCTAGAAGGGCTCTCTAGGCTTGTAGATTAGCAAAATCCCAACACTGCTAAATATTGCAAAACACAACATCTTCCCAGTGTGAGTATACTGCTTTCAGTCCATAAGCATCCTTCTTTTCTTAGGGCCTATGTTGAATTCCTTATTCATCCTGAAGGAAGGGAGGAAGACAGAAAAGCAAAGCATGCATGCATTCAGGCAGGCTGGAAGGCCGGATTTACCTGGTTTATACTGGTATACTAGCCCTTCACCAGAGCTCTCTGTGGAGCCTGAATTAGCATCAGGTTCTTCCCTCTCTGAAACACACTCAGCACCGTTACGTAGAGGCTCTGCTTCCTGCTCTCCATTTTCTTCCACAACTTTTGCTTTTTTAAGTTCAGAAGTATCTCTTTCCAGGTGGAACCCATGGCTCATTTTATCCTGTTCAGATTCAGGTACTTTGTCACCTGAAAGTTCCTCTTCTGCTTTACGCTGAAGCAGAAGCAAGAGAGATTCTGATTAAAAACAACACCCTTTCCAAGACACTCTGTATGTGAAGCGGCTACATACTATTCACTACAGCACATTTGCTCAACACTATAATGTATATGTGTCTTAAACTGTGACGTGTACAACTATAATGAAACAGAGTAAATAAGATCATTTACTCAAAACACAATATCTCATTTTCTGAGGTAACCCATTGTCAATAAACTGTATGCCATTACTGCAGAGTAAAAACGGGCACCTGCTGACACCAAGGATGAGGCTCCTAGTACATCCACCTGTCAATCCTCATTGACAGGTGGATGTACTAGGAGCAAAGACTCATGCTTAATTCTGCAGATACAAGCAACTTGGTGCAACATACTTCTACAGTGGAAGGATGTCAGAGCTGCAATAAAATGATTTGAGCGATGAGAGAAAGTTGTGGAACATATAGCTTGTCCACATGCAGGGTGCTCTCAGAAGAGACAATGAATAATGCTTCCATTTACCCAGTTTGGCTAAAGACAGCCAGTTTTTCTAGTTGTGCTGATAAAGGACAGTTTTAATCAATCTGATTATAGGCTCTATTGATAACTCCCCCTTTTTCATGACTCTTCTAATTCTAGATTTTCCCTGATAATTTAAAACACATTTTGACAGTAACCCCACAAGAATGTAAACATAATGTTGCTGGGCTCCCAGTAGCTTTCTCCAAAAAGTCATGCCAGTGCTGTCACTCATGCTGGACACCAGGGTTGTGTGTACAGAACAGTTCAAATCAAACCATTTACAAACATGCCTTATGAGCAAAAGTTTTAGTTTAACTTTCAAGTTACCTTTGCATTCTTCATAGTGTACCAGACCATGAACAATTCCACCACTCAGCACGTTTAAAATTATTTACCATAGCATTTGACAAATAACTATAGTGGGTCAGTGCATATTTTAGAAGAACTGAAATAAATTTTCAAAATACATTTTTAAAACTATGAATGAGATATGTGGATTACTGTTGATAAATACAGTTATGAATACAACACTTATGTGTGGGAAGAGGATAAATACAATGTAACTATATTGACATTAGAACAGACCCCTGCCCCATGTCTCTCATTCCTTGGAAAAGCAGGTGCTGGGAATGCTGCAGTAGCAGCTCTTGTCATTCTACAGAGTCCATCACCCAAGCTGGAAAGTTTGATTGATAGGAAGGGTAGTAACCAAGATATGGACCTTTGGGGTAGCAAAAGCATGGTTAGGACAACTGGGGAAGAAAATAAGATATCACTGGCTGAAAAAGTAGTGAAAACTGAGAAGGTTTTTCTACCTTCAATATCTATGTATGAACTTCTCCCCACCCTTATCCTCAACTTAGTACCACAACATGTAAAAACGTAGTTACTGCTAAAGGACTGACAGCACAGAGCTGATAGCACATAGAAAAGAAAATGAACTGCAGAAACTAGTTTAACCAGCAATGTGAGGAGAGAAAACCCATCAAGACAAACTGAATGAAATTAATGCACTTGTATTTGTTTTTTATTTGTCTCTGTACAAAGAGTAGAACCCTCTCAGACTTTCAACAGTTTCTGCACATTTAAACATGGCCTACATGGGAAGAGGACCCCAAAATGAGGCTTTCTAGTGGCAATAATTGCAACTCCCTTTACTCTGCTACACATTACAGAAGTAACCTCATTAAGACTCCTAGTGTTCTGACCCTGAGAGACCACCACTGCCCTTTAAAAGTCAAAATCTGACCTTGAAGATGTACTGCAATAATCCCATTGACGTCAACAGGACCAGTGCAAGTTCATCCAAGGGTTATCATCTATCCCTTAATACAGATTGTGGCCCATATCAGACTACAGAAAGAAGGACCTCACACCAGTGCAAACTTGAGAGAACAAGTAGAGGGAATCTCTGATTTGCTGAAAATTTTCTCTATTCATGTAGCTATTGTTGATATGCAGGTTTGCATGAAAACTTCAATGCTTTCACATCTCGGCTTTTCCTCCAGCTTGATTCTGCCATGAAGACATAGTTCTTTGTTCATGACATCACAAATGCAGCATTGTGAAGGGGAAAGGCATGCTATGCCACTCAATACCAACATCTGAGACTAATTATTGAGGAGCTCTAATGGGCTCCAAAGCGAGACTTGTGCAATCCTTCACTTGAACTATAGTAGTTATGATGTGTGACCCTGAGTGTGGGGAGGATATAAATTAGACAAAATGAATGCATATTTAGGTATCCAAAAGAGCTGCAGACTAGATATCTGTTTAAAGTATAATAGAGTATATCTGACAGTATGCCCCCACAATCAAGTCCATTTACACCCTCTAAGCTAAATGAGTGGTAGAGGGTTACACATTGTCTTGAAAGTAAGATATAGGAAGATTACACTGCCCCTTACCTCTGTTTCCGCCTCTAACACCTCCTCAGCGGCTTGGGTCCGATCTTTTGGTTTCTTCCACATCTTTGGTGCAGCTACAGCTGTTTGGGCTGCAATACAAGTTTACGCCCATTACTTACCAACACCAAATCATGGTTAGAATGGTCTGGTCCTGGGTACTACCTTCACTCTCACTTGGGCTTTGTTTTCAACCACATAGAAAAATAAAAATAGTTCTATAGAATGGTTTGGCTAAGATCCAAATGATCAGTTTTTACCAAAAAGTAGTGACAGCTAAATGGCCAGAGCAATGTTAGAACAAGACAGAATTTGTTTTACAAGTTATTTTTTCATACTCTAAGACAGGGGAGGACAAACTACGGCCTACGGGCCACATCCGGCCTGCCAGCTGATTTAAAACAGCCCTCGAGTTCCCACTGGGGAACGGGGTCTTGGGTTTGCCCCGCTCCCACACTCCAGACCAGGAGAGGGGTCGGAGGCCACTCCGTGTGTGCTGCGACTCCCGGAAGCAGCGGCATATCCCCCTTCCAGCTCCTACGTTTAGGGGCAGCTAGGGGGCTCCGCGCGCTGCCTGTCCGCAGGTGCCGCCTCCACAGCTCCCATTGGCCGCAGTTCCTGGCATAGGAGTCAGTGGGGGGACATGTTGCTGCTTCTAAAGCGCTGCCCGGAACCTGTACCCGTGACTCCCTTCCATGACCCAACCTCCTGCCCCAGCCCTGATCCCCCTCCCACCCTACGAAACCCTTCAGTCCCAGCCCCACCCCAGAGCCCGCACCTCCAGCCAGAGCCCACACTCCAACCCGCTGCCCCAGCCCGGAGCTCCCTCCCGCATCCTGAACTCCTCTTTTCTGGCCCCACCCCAGAGCCTTCACCCCCAGCAAGAGCCTTCACCCTAACCCCAATTTTGTGAGCATTCATGGCCCCGCCATACAATTTCCATACCCAGATGTGGCCCTCGGGCCAAAAAGTTTGCCCACCCCTGCTCTAAGAAGTACTTTACAGAGCAAGGAGTTAACAACTGGCAATACAATAATAATGTAGGAAAATACACAGCAATACTTCATACATTATAATTGTTTGAAAGAGGACTACTATTGACCAGGATACTGGGTTATGCTTGATAGTTTTTTCCCAATGACTATCCTAAATTTTTTTAATTTCTACCTCAACAGCGACCAGAAACAAAGCAGAAGGAATCATGTTTTAATATCTCATCCAAAATGATGGCACTCTAGATGTGCAACACCTTGCCGGCAACATGCTTATCTTTAATTATGTTTTTAATGAATTTCAAAAGCCAATTAATAATTCTTTTTATCATCACCAGCTGGTTGAATGCATAACATTCAATTTTTTTCCTCAAAAGTGAAAGACCACAAGGAATATTAATACTCAAGACAGACAAAATATATTCATCCAAAATCTCTGTGATCTGTAGAATCAGCTCTACCAGGCTTGGGAAACACACATATGCTTAACTAGAAGCATGCAAAGAAACCCAGTGAAACGAATGGGACTGCTCACATGCTTAAAATTAAACAGGTACAAAAGTGTTTGTAGGATCAGGGCCTCAACTGCTAACTTTTCTCTGTAACATGTGTAGAACAACATGGCATGTACATACTTCAAAACAATAAAATGGAATTAAGAGGCTTTACACACAGATTACTGAAGTGAGAGTGACTGAAGACAATGCACCAATACACATTAAGAATGGAACTGTAATTACATCCTAAGTTGTTGACATTTGTTCCTGAGGGCAAAAAGGAAATTGGGTTCGTTAAGTTCCCAGTGCCCAAAAAGATACCTTGGTGGGTCAGTGGCTTGTTAACAGAGGTTAGTTTGACTATGGATTGTTGGAGATATAACTGGAATCAGCAGAAATTATTATAACAAATATGGCAGTTGGAACATGGTATGTGAAAAAATATACTGCTACAAATACTGAGACAGTCGCTCTCTCTATGGAAGATAACAAAGATGGCCATAGCAATATATACTAGGCTAGTTAAAGTGGGATTCATAATATGAACACAAAAGTAAGCTCTTGATAAACAAAATATCCCAACTTCGTCTCGTTCTTTTATATAACGCATGACAATGCTGACAGCAATTTCATCTTAAACACCAGTTATAACCTGGTTGAAAAACATTACGTGCACATCAGCTGTAACTAGCCTAAACTTCTGAACAACAACTTTATACAACTACTGAACTTAACACGGTACTTTTCATCTATAGATCTAAAAACACATTAAAAGGAGGGCAAATATCTACTTTACAGATGAGGAAACTGAAGTACAGAAAGAAAAATGTGTGACAAAGTGGGAATTTCCTATAATATTTTTATGACTCCTATATGTGCCGTTTCCCTTTGCATCGCTACCCAGTGGGTGTGAAAGGGCCAAAGCTGCTGTCTGGGGTGGAATGAAGGATCATTAAAAAACTGGTTGAAACTGATCCATACCAACAAAGAATCTAGAAAGACAATGAGAACTGACACCTAACAGCAGGAAACCTTGGCAGAAGGAATACATGAACTCAGCTGGAAAACGAAGGAGAAAGGCATCAGGTGGCTGGAGTAAAGGCTGCCCTTTGGGGAGAAACAGGCTCTCACCTGGGACTAAGGACAAGATAGAGAGCCAGAAATGGAATGCTTCTCTGTGCTAACCTAAGGACTTGCAGGTTCTGTAGCCAGGTCACTAATAAATTGTGACCTTGCTTTGAAAAGGCTGCCTGCTCTTGCTGCAAATATTCACTGAAAGCATTGCACCCTAAAGGAGAACAGTACAAGTCTCCAGCAGGAGTCTGTCTCAGCTGAATTCACTGCAGAGAGCTATGGAGAGAGACAGAGATTGCTGAAACCTGAAGGCCCAGTCCTGGAATCTCAAGAGGCCACAGGCCTGCCCCTGTGGAACTATGTGAGTCCTTGGGGTCCAGCACACTAACGCTGGTCACTCCCAATGGACAAGTCACACGCTAGGACATACATCATATCCTGAAGATCTATGATTAAAGTGACTTGCCTAAGGCCACCCAGCAGGTCTGTGGAAGAGCTGGACAAATAACCAGTCTTTTGACTCCCAGTCCAGTGCCATATTCACTGGACCATGCTTGTTAAGTACATTTATATTTAAATGTACTGAAGAACCTTGCTAATTATCAGTAATAGCTGGGAAGACTCATTATAAATGATTGAATATTGGAAAGACAAGATGGGTGGGTTGGTCTTTTATTGAACCAACTTCTGTTGGTGAGAAAGACAAGATTTTGAGCTACACAGAGCTCTTCTTCGGTCATAAACTCGTAGTGATAGGAGTGCTGTCTCTGCTATTAAAAGTTTGCTAACGTCGGAAGAAACTGACAGATTTTTCTGCAGATTATAAGAATCTGGTTTAGCAAAGTGTGGATATAAGTGAGACTCCACTGTCAGTGAGAGAATGCAAATAGTTTAAGCCCTACATTTCATCACCTACTGTGCTAAAGTAAAGAATGTCCTCTGGGGTTTAGAAGTCAATTCATTTTTTTATTTTATTTTAAACAATTCCATGAAACTCAACAAAGTAAAGCTGCACAAGAGTGCTCCCATCTTGCTGGCTCTGCAGAAGCAGCAATGAGCAGAAATCAAGACAAACATTTTCTGGCTTTCAAAGTGGTGCAGCTATAAAAAAGGGTATTTAACAGTATCCCCCTAAAACTGCTGGCTGTTTGCAGATGAGAAATGCTGCTTGAAGGGAAGCTGTCACTGAAAAGGATACATTTTCTTAAAAGGAATCACTACGGCTTCTTGGGCTCCTTTCTCCCCCTGCCAGCTCAGACCACCCTTTTGTGACACTGAAAACATCCATACAGGCAATAATTAAGACCAATTAAAACCCAAGGAAATGTAATCAACTTGATGTGTTTGAGTCAGCAAAGGTACTTATTTTCTTTCCATCACCTTTTCTCTATTACACATGGAGTGTGCTAAGCAGTCATTGTCAACATCATTTCATCTTCAAGAATATATTTTTTCTCATCCTTGACACAAGGAATACAAGTAATACAAAAAGGACTCAATCCTGCAAAATGCTGAGCACGGACCTCATTGTGAACCGTGGGTACTCAATACTTTTCACAAGTGCTCAGCACCTGCCAGAACTGAGACATAAGTCACTCCTAATCTGTCACCGAACCTCTCTCTCAATGGGGTTTTTTAAATTTCATAGATCCATTTTCCTCCCATTAACTGCAAAGCCCATTGCACTATACTAGCACATTTAGAAGGTATCTACAACTAACATCAGAAGGATGGCAGGAAATAGATTAACTGTAATATTGTGTATTTTAGAAAACATGTCTCCATAAGTATTTTATACACACATAGCTTGTTGATAATTGCTCTGGAATGGCTTACTGTTACAACATTGCGCCATGAAACAGAAGTAAATGTCTGACAATGCACAAAGTGGTACAACATATTTATTTAAAGCTTGATGCATCAGCCTTGTATTCCAATCCTACAAATGTCATTATCATTTTAAATATATTAATTGAGAGAGGACAAATGATTGTGTGGTGTTTTATTGGCATGAAGATGGTGGTGAAGTCACTAATGAATTATGCAGGTCATTATGCAGTGCCAATAAAATCTTTACAACCACTCTACCATGTGTTTCATATTTGCTGCATGGTTTATAGAGAAACTATTTAAGGCTCTGAAGTATTTTTACAATGAGATGCATTGTTACATTATTTCATTTCTGCCTGTAAAATCAAATCCCAATGGAATGCAAAGGGAGCTGGGCACCTAAATCCTTTAAGATACTTTGACAAATCCAGCCTGAGTCCAACTGGTCACAACACTGAGGGAAAAGACAATGGTAACAAACAACTTACAGACCATTACAACATTACTTGAATTTATTTTACATACGTATGACAACTTCACAATTTTATGGTCTGATATCATGTGACCTTCCCTGGCTAGAAGTGTATGCAGTATGGGTCCCGAGGGAAAGCTGGGGATTTCTCCTTAAACTTGCCACTGGTGCAGCTCAGAATCCTTCACCTCACAGAGCAATGAAATTTTGGACAGGAGAGAGAGAAC